AATTGCCTGCTCTTCTGCACTACTGAAATTTACAGAACGAGTTGCCTTGGACATAATTACGCCGTTTTTCTACGATTTTTCCGACCCCCTGCAATTAACATATAAGGCTAGGTGTAGTACACTAGATGCTGTTGTTCTGGTTGTCCATTCTATTCTAAGAGATTTAGATAAGGGCTGCCGTGCGTACACATTTTTAGTAAAATCCGTAAACTTTTATTTTATATCCGCCGTTTGCTCTCATGTCGCACAGAAACTCCGAAGTTGAAAGCCGACCTATCTCCATAACAGATGTGGATATCGTGTAACCCTTCAAACTTTGAGTATTCTATGACCTTTTCCCAACATTATCCCTTACTCTCCGTGAATGGAGCCATTTTGCTGACAATTTTGGATATTTCTCTTCAAAATAAAGCATAGTACTCTCTCTCAAATAACGATGTATACCCGATTATGGGCTCCTGCTCGACCATTCTACCGAAGCTTCGAATGTTGCATAAACCCAAAGGAACCTATTCGCCAATCATAATTGAACGCCCAGTGCTTAATCTTTTTACATGATCACTCAGTGGCTCGTCTGTATACGCTAGCCGCCCGTGATACTCAGTCTTTCTGAGCCTATTGTCTTCGTCACGTCTGACGTGAGCGACGACAAAACGAGGAGCTTCAGACCTTACTTCATTATTTTTCCAAAAACGATCTTAGCTCCCTTCTGTGAATTACTTGCCATACCGATAGTACTAGTACTACTAGTATCTGTGCTGTGTGTATGGTAAATCATTCAGTATTTGTCTACTACTGAGCGCATGCTGGCAATTTGCGAATATTCAACAGTGGCTGATGGAATCTATGTCAAATTTAGGACTGAGTCCGAAAAGCTCTGTTGGCCCATTTTTCTCGGGGAAATTAAAAAGATAGACAGAGACTGTAGAGGTCGCAACCGTCCTTCATAACTGCCTTGCAATAAACATTTAATCGCGTATCACTATCAACAGAACTCATTTTTTTCCTTTATAGATGGTCGGAGCGACTGGATTCCAGTATCAGCGGCTCAAGGTCAATCCCCCTGAAAAAGGTAGCTTCCCTCTAGACCATCAGGGTATATGCCAAAGCATGCGGGACGTATGGATTACATGCATGAAGGAGTCCGCATGGGACAGTTCAAAGTGTCGTGCCGAGGCGGCTTCCTACCTCCGCTGCCGAATGGAAAATAATCTTATGGGTCAAGAGGAGATCCAAAGGCTCGGTTTTAACGAAGACGAGTGGAAGAAGGCCGCGGCCAAAATGCGAGACCAAAAGTGAAAAGCGGATTCCGTTTTTCCTACCATCCTTTCTCCGAGAAGAAGACAGTTATAAAATGTATATCTTTTTAGGTGGGGGGCAATCATTCCGCATGTACAGGCGATACGAGGATAATCCCGTCCCCACGTACAAAAAGCATGGGAATTTTTCGTTTTGTCGTCTGTTTGTAAATGTTTTTTAAAAATCGTAATACAAACCTTGTAAATTTCCTCGTATGTTTCTTCGTCCAGCTCTAGCGTTGTAATGGTTTCCTCCACTTGGCCAAGGATAAGGTTTAGATGCGAATCAAAGCCCTGAAAAGGGGAAATAAACAGCTGATTAACCGTGACTTCTATACAGGCACGTACTCATTGCCTTGACCTGACCCGCACTTAACATTCGGAGAAACCACAAGAAAACGGAAGAATTGTTGGTTTACTATCTCTTCCGCCACAGACGCTGGTGGGAATAACTGCTGTTGGATCGAGTATATTTTCTGTCATTACAATTATTAGGCCTTCGTGTTCCTAAAGCTTCATCAAAATGAGTTACCTATTTAACAGAAATGAAACTTATTGCAACTAACTCGTGTACCAGCCTATGACAGTTGAAACCGATTTTTAGTTTTTTTTGACAAGCAG